TTATTTTTCTGGCGAATCTCTCGTATATCCCAGCTGCTATGGAGGTGATTGTATTTTTATTTTTTATAAATCACCCAATATGTAGTTGACATAAAACTTGTATGATGGCCATCTGTTAGCTTACCAGTTTCTAGTGATACATGTACGTGTACATTAGTTGACATATTTGTGACTTTCTTTGAATTTCACCTTTAATACTACATGTATTTGTCCGATTCATTTCAAACTTTTGCCATTCTGTGTCTGTTATTTTTCTGCTTTCATACAAATCTACTTATTACAAGGATTGGATTGCCCTTTAAGTCTATGATCGCAAGTTATGTACATGTACATGTATGTGTGCAAGTGTTTATTAGGCAATGATAAATCCTTAGATAGTCTATACAACAGGCCTTGGCTTGAGAGAGTTTGTAAAATGAAGATTTCCAAAATTCAGATTAACATTTGCACTGCGAAAAGTATAACATATCTTTCTTTTGCATTTGGTATCGTTTGCAGACCTCAATTTCCCAATTTCCCAACAATATATTAAGTAAATGTAGATCGATAGTTCAATAAATGTTGGTATTCCACTATTCCAACAGAATCGTTAACTACACCTCAGTTTAAGTCAGTTATGATTTTATAACTTCATGTATAAGAGAAAAAGATGTACCAGTAATAATAATAATTTTTCATCTCTTCCTCCTTCCTTTTTGGGGGCCTGCCTCAATGCTTTGTTATTTGATAATTATCTGAAATTAAATAATGAACAATCTGAGGGAATCTTGACAATGGGTTTAGCAAATAGCAAAAATTATTAATATCATGCAATTTCACCTTGTTTTTATCCCTCTATGGTAAAAATTAAATTCGAGTTATCCAAATTTGGGTTGAAATTGACCCAATAGAATTTCTATCAAGAGAAAAATATCAAATATCAAATGTACACTGAACCCCCCCCCCCCCCCTTGTCATTTGCGAAAAATCCTGACGAGAAACTAGTAACTACGCTTCAACTTTTCTTGGCCTAAAAATCAGGGGAATTCCTTTAAACAAAGCAAAAGTAATACCCTCCTCTAGCTGTGTGGATATGGAAGTGATCACACAAATGTGTCATTTAATTTCACCAAATGACAAGCGATTTTGGAACGTCTCCAGAGTTAGAGGCATTAAAAATACAAGGAGGTGCTTCTTCACTAGTCTTTGCAGAAGATGGTGAGAAGTCTCAAATTTTTACGCCTGGTGAAGGACGGTTTTTAAGTTGCTCATTTGGATTCATCATAGAGATCCTATAAATGGGATAGCTCTAGCTACACAACAAGTATGGTCCATGTCCGTACTGAGCATCTTCAGCAGCTAATTTGTCCATGATTTTGCCAAAGAGCTGGCTATTTCTGAAGCCGTAGTTTTCTTGGGATAATACATGTCTGTAGCTCAAGCGAAGATCCCATTTTCTTGTGCGCAATGTAGCCCTCTGGCATGTAGTTGTGGTCAGGTTAATTTCTCTGAATCAGAACCAAACAGGCAACATATTTCAAACACTTCAGAGACATCCCTGGTCCAATGACGACAGGCCTTTGATGTCCTGATGAGAACCCATCACACACACTGGCTACGTATTGCTGCACCAGGGGAAAATATATATGGGGGCTCAGGGCAAATTCGCCCCCAAAATGCCAAAAAGAGCCTCCCCCCCAAAAAAAAATTTGCATAGAGTTCAATGCAAAACAAATTAAAAAGTGTTATTTTCATGCAAGCGAGCATGAAAAGTAGCCCCTCCCCCCCCCCCCCCCCCAATTTTTGGAATATTATTTTCCCTGTGCTGCACTAACCGGCATAGATGGATTTGGGGGTCTCAATTAAGACTATACATGAGAGGCAGACACTCACTTCCTCTAATGCTGTTGCTAGAGGAACCCTAGAACTAGGACCTGATCAAAACTAGCCTACATGTAGTCAATGTACCCATGGTCATGTACTGCTGCTACACTACATCAAAACTGCGTTCGGACTACATCGTATAGCAATACAAGAATTGTATCTTTAGCTATACGACAAGTAATTAAAATATTTTTAGAGTCTGAAGTACTCTGAACATTGTGTAAAGAAACGTTGCATAACGCAACGTCTTTTCAAACCTAAACTCGATAAAGAATCAGCATTCGGTTCTAGTCTGAAAATCGCGTCATACAAAAATATTGTACAACTGGGTAGGTCTAAGAAAGACCGAGCACTTATGATCGGCCGGCTGTCATATTAACTCACCTTGTCATAGCTATAGGCTACTCGATGTCTGCACGATTCTGATAAAAGCAAAACATGCAACCAACACAAAGTGTACATCTTTATTATAGCGACACATACATGTATTCATTTTTTTTAAAAAACAACTATTAAGAAATGTCTAATTTCAACATTTTTAATTCCACAGGCCTCAAAATGCTTTCTTTTTTTCCTATAGGAACTCAGTGTTATTTTGCTCTGGTTCATAACTTTACGAACCAGAGCAAAATAACAGTGAGATCCTATAGGAAATCTTTTTATTCAGATGGCCATATGATGACATAAATGGTACCCTGGGGTACCAAAAAAAAATTGGCCATTTTGTTGAATTATTATTTTTTTTTTAAGGCTGTACCCTGGGTTACCCTGGTCGGGACCGGACGCCGGAGCTAGCTAGCACTATAGTGTGCGATAGCCACCGTAGTGCGCTTGTGATCGTGAGCGAGCGCTATAGCGCGAGCAGTGCATGCATGCACACCATGCATAGTATACACCATAGAGATACCACGGAACTATGTACACGCACTCCATACATTGTACTACAGTGGACGCGAGATGGCGCTACACAACGCGGTACCCCGGGGTAACGCGTGGTGCATCATATCTCAGCCAATACTTAACATATTTAATTGGTTTTCGACATTTGGACATTATTTTTTATGATCTTTCGGAAAATGAAGAAAAAATTGAGAAATTCTAAAAATAGCTTTTTATGATGTTACAGCTTCGGTACTCTATTGAATTCATCTATAGAGCTCTAAATTCTTATTTTTTTCATCATTTCAGGATGTTTGTATTAAACTCAGATTTGGGAATAAACCCAAATTGGATGGCAATCAACCTGAAAGTTCAAGGGCCTTACTTTATTTATTTACTTTTAAAATTGCATTGGAGGAAAAGATGATGCCAAAAAATTCACTTGTAATTATAACATGGCACTTCCCCTATCCTCCAAGTACATTTGGAGGTATATTTTACACAAATGTAGGTGAAAGGGGAAATTTCCACTGCCTACTCTACCAACAATGTTCTAGACAATGTTTCACATTTTGATTTTAACATATTTAAAGGTAGAGACCAGTAATGGTCATACGATTGCATTGTGAAAGAAACGTTGTGGAATCGATCAGAAAAGGTTGATCATCTAGCATATAAGTATTGGGGTGAACTGCAAGGTTCTGGAATCATCAAAATGATAAGAAATTTGGCCCGGTCTTCGTAAAGTTACAAGCACTGTACACAGAAAGATGTATATGGGACTACGCACACGTGCGCGACATGTGCATTTATCTCTCACAGACCATGTAGCTAAACTAATTTACCAAATATATCAATTAGTAGGTGGTTTCCCGGCAAAATTTTTATCATCATGTATTAGTAAAAACATATTCTTTCACATAATTGATAATAAGAGCTTCCATTTCATTTTTTGAAATTGGGGCATTTCCAATACTGGTCTTTCCCTTTAACATGAATATAATTATCTGAGCGTAAAGAGGTAATCATGCAGAGGGGAGACAGGCTTAAAGGTAAAGATCAGTTTTGGAAACGCCCCCCTCTCAAAAAATGAAATGAAAGCTCTTATTACCAATCATGTGAAAGAATATGTTTTGACTAATACGTGATGATATAAATTTGCCGGGAAACCGCCTACTAATTGATATATTTGGTAAATTATTTTATCTATCTGGACTGTATAGATATAGGGTAGTCCCATGTATACATCTTTCTGTGTACAGTGCTAGTAACTTTACCAAGACTGGGCCAAATTTCTTATCATTTTGATGATTCCAGAACCTTGCAGTACACACCAATACTTATTATATGCTAGATGATCAACCTTTTCTGATCGATTCCACAACGTTTCTTTCACAATGCAATCGCATGACCAGAACTTAAAATATTGTGATACCCCAGGATTGGCACGTTTACAGCACTGTTTTCTTTTTGCTCAGGTGGTGAACAGGCTTTAGTTTGTCAAAGGGCGCGTTTATCAGGGCTTGCCACTAGATATGTACATATCGTACCCCACTATCAAACCCCACTATCGAACCCCACTATACAGTGTATGATCGTGATTTGCGGGATGTCGCGTTTATCGTCCCTTCACGATTCAAAGTAAAGGCCTTGTGTCTGCCCAGCTGTTTTGACCCGGGAAGCAGACGGTTTCTCGGAGGTCAACTTCACATACATGCTTGTACACAACACCTGGGTGGTCCTATTTGTATGTGAGGTTCAAAACAGCTTTGCGTTTATCGATCTCTCAGAAACGTGATTCTGGCTGTATGTCACATTCAAAACACACCTTTTTGCGTCTTTAGATATGCCCATATCTAAAGACGTTTGAAAAAGGTTTGAGAAACCTAATTCTAGCCAAAAATCTGGTCGATAAACGCAACCTTTGACACATGTAAGGTTGAGGTACTGTAGGGTTATAAGTGGGCTTTAGGTTACAAATCAAATCCAAGTACATGTACATTGATGATACTCCCCAAATCATGGATTTAATTCTCCTTTTGTAATACCAGTAGGCCTACTTGTATACTTGATGAATTTAAACTGAAAATTGTATTTATACTTCTTTTATGTGCATCGAATATTGATGATAATGCAAACTTGTGGATTTATTTCGATAAATTTAACTTTGTTTTGTAGAAGGCCAGTACCAATCTAGGCCCACCAAATTTCCACTTTTCTAAGTAACAGGATTCCGTCAGTAAACTTCTTAGCCTTACCTGCGCCTGGTACAGCCATCTTGAGGTTCTGTTGTCTCTATGGCTACAGCTGAAAAATCAAACAGAGAAATGGTAAAAGGTTAGGATAACTAGTCAATTAGTTATGAACATTATACCATTATCAGTGGCATAGTGCGCGTACAGTCACTAAGGGGAAGGGGGAAGGGGGAAGGGGGAGGGGGAGGGGGAAGGGAATGGGGGAGGGGGAGGGGAAGGGGAAGGGAGAGGGGTAGGGAGAGGGGAAAGGGGTAGGGAGAGGGGAAAGGGGAAGGGGAGGGGAAGGGGAAAGGGGAAGGGGGAAGGGGAGGGGAAGGGGGAAGGGGAGGGGAAGGGGGAAGGGGAGGGGAAGGGGGAAAATTGTTATTAGGTTGAATGGTATTTCACTGGTACATGTAGATGAAAGGTGCCCATTCAAGCGTAGCGAGCGTAATCTCAATGGTATCCGAATGGTATTTAAATGGTGTTTGTGAATGGTATCTGTATGGTTTTTTCAGTGGTACTTCCGAATGGTATACCATTGGTATACCATTGGTATACCATTGAACATTTTTTTGTAAGGGAGGGGGAAGGGGGAAGAGGAGGGGGAAGGGGGAAGAGGAGGGGAGGGGAAGGGGGGAGAGGGAGGGATGTTGTTATTAGGATGCACCTGTCGTATGAAAATGATAACAAGTATTAAAGAGAACAAGACAATCTGGTAGGAGGAGAGTATGGAGGGGGGTTGAGGGGGAGGGATTCGGTTGCATCATTTTCTTTTCACTTTGGGTTACCCACTCCTGCCTTTGCAATATGATAATCTGCCAGCCCATTTATCAAATTGCTTTGTCTTGTTTTATTCAGTTTCACAACATGATCGATATAAACATTCATAGTCAAATCAAGTTATCATGCTCTTGTGGTTTAGCTCCATGACACTGTGGCTAGCCAACAATACATGTACATCAATGTCATATTTGTAACAAAACGTTTCCTTTGGCAGATTTATCCGCTGTAATTTATATGTATACATTACATATACAGGGCTGTCTAATCCAAGCTCAGTAGTTAATGCCACATAATGTTGTTTTATATGATCATCAGTTTGGTTACAGCTCCTTTTAGAAAGGGTCTGAATAAACCTGTTTTGTGTACTAATAATATATTTCATATTACGAATTATTCTCCTCCTAAAAACATCCTTGGTTATTTTTTAGTTTTATCAGCGATTCACCGAGTTATGAATAATAGCATCTCTATTGTCTATGGATAGAATCCATTTTTCATAAACTAGTTATCACTATGTTGGCAAGCCAATGGCAAGCTATTTAAATATAGAAAAGAGAAATGAAAAACTTTTTTCCTCAAAAAGAATGCACAAAATGAGTAAACAGGTCTATTCTGAAATTTGTCAATCAAAATGTTCTTAAATTTTGAATTAATCCAATAAATTTGAGGAAAAAAGTACAAGCTGGGTTCATTATTCCTAAAATACAAAGAGAGGGAAATAGAGAGAGAGAGGGGGGGGGGGGTGGGTCATGTGAAAAAAAACCATTCCTACATGTACGTACATGTATACACCCCTTCTCTTATTTATGATTAATTCATATTTGTTGAGACTTGAGTAAGACTGTTGCTGCAGCCCTAATATTCATAAATGAATGATACACACCAATAAAAAATAAAAAAACGTAACGTTACTTCATAAATGAATGATACACACAAATAAAAATAAAACAACATTATTCATAATTGAATGAATCTGGCCTAAAACTAAAACAAAAACCAAGCGCGTAGCCAGGATTTCATTTTAGGGGGGCGGAAGTGAGTACGCAAAGCATGCGAATCACTTAAAGAGCGCGCATAGCACGCTCCCTAGGGGGGTGGGTGCAGGGAGGGGGAGTCTCCCCCCTCCCGCGCGAAGCGCAGAAGCATTGAAAGAAGACGATTCGTTGTACCTTTCTCGACTCATAATCCTTGTCTGAATTCAGTCCACCCTTCCTGCGCATAGCACGAAAGCCTTGACGTATTATTAGACAAAGAAGACGATTCGTTGTATCTTTCCTGACCCTTAATCCTTATCTGCATGTAATCAGTCCGCCCCTCCTGCGCATAGCACGGAAGCCTTGACGTATTATTTGACAAAGAAGACGACTCGTTGTACCTTTCTCGACCCTTAATCCTTATCTGTATTCAGTCCCCCCCCCCCCCCCCCCGCGTAAAGCGTGGAAGTTTTGACATTTCATCAATTTATTAGAGAAAGAAAACGATTTGATGTACCGTTCTCGACTCTTAATCCTTATCTGAATTCAGTTTCCTCCCCTCCCGCGCAAAGCGCGGAAACTTTGGAGTTTCATTAAATTATTAGAGAAAGAAGACGACTCGAAGTACCATTCTCGACTCTTAATCTTTGTCTGAATTCAGCCCCCCCACCCCCTCCTCCTGCGCGAAGCGCGGAAGCTTTGACGTATTATTAGACAAAGAAGATGATTCGTTGTACATTTCCCGACCCTCAATCCTTATCTGTATTCAGTCCCCCTCTTTCGAAGCGCGGAAGCTTTGACGTTTCATTAAATTATTAGAGAAAGAAGACGATTCGTTGTTCCGTTCTCGACTCTTAATCCTTAATTTGAACTCAATTTCCCCCTTTCTTCCTACGCCCTCTTCCTTTTTTCCTTCTCTTTTTCTCTCTTTCTTTTTTTGGCCGGCATTTTTTTTGGGGGGCGACTGCCTCCACCGCCCCCCCCCCCCTGGCTACGCGCCTGCAACCCTTCCCCCTCCCCGGCCCATGATGCCAGTGATCCCTCAATGCATTGAACCATATGCTACCCCATTATATCAATAGACCCCAAATTATTGGCAGGGGTGGGGGTTATAAGGGGGGGCGGTTATAAGGGGACGATAGGTCTCTTTAATTATTAAAGAAGTATATTTCTTTGACTGATGGTTTTTAACATGTCATTTCTTATTCAAAGCTTCAAACACTATTAAATTAACTAAATTCCAACTTATACACATTTGACCAACTGCATACTCAACAATCAAAACAATTCAAGTTATGCTGCCACTTGTCTTGGCCTTCAATTAACATTCTTGGCATCGGTCAGCAACTTTGAATTGAATGAAGTGAATCATGAATCATTGTAGAATAAAATTCACTTCAACCAGATGTTGGCATTTCAATCAAAATTACATTTTCAGCTCTAACACTAACAGTTCTTATTAAGTCTCAAAGTTAACATCATGCTAAACAACAACTAAACAAAAAACACGGTAAAAATTGTCAAAATGATGCAAACCGAACTCACTTGAACGTGTGTTTGTTGTGCACGACACACAGTAGTTTACCGGATACTAAACTTTATGAAGAAGTCTGAGCAGGGTCCATGATATTCCGGTGTTTTAATTTCTGCAACTTTACGATTAAAATTCCATTATGGGAGCTATCCTCCATTTTCTTGCACAGATCTACAATCGAAAGCAACAGTTCGTCACATTATATCATTTTATCCAGTTTGAAAACACGCAAAATGGCGATGAAATCCTTCGCATTTCCGAGAGAGATAACTAGTTTTTAACTTCCTAAAACTCGGCGGAACTCCGGCTGCATTTATTGTACACACATGCACAGTATACGGGTTGCGTACAATACAGGAGTGCACGAATCGTGTTTTGAGTCACAGCTCAAATTTTGACTACTTGCTTCCTGGTTCAGTTCGGGGTCAAATATTGGGGTCAAATCGGCACGGAAAAACATAATTTATGCAAAGATTTGAGTCATTGTTAACCTTTTTAAAGACCACCGCCTTCCAACAAGTGTCCCTAAGAAACTTGTAATGATACACTCAGAAGTAAGAAGGAGTTGGTTTAGAGTCAACAGGTCTCTCATTAATTTATAAAGATGGTATGCAACTAGCTTTTGTAGCTGTAGTATACCAGTAGCGCCATTCAATCGGCGGTCTAAAACGGGATTTCCCCTAAATGCGCTGAAGCTTTGTAAATAAAGAAAAGCACCAATCTCGTACACACCATAGATGAATATGCCCTATTGCTTTGTGGTATTGGTTGAATTCTGAAAAGCAATTTATGAAACCATGTTACCAATAAATTCAGTGGACAATTCTGATTGATCTTTGACCACTGTTTGGTTTCGGTGAGCGGCGATTTCTTGTCATGAACCACATGCAGCGGGGTGAAGGGGGGGGGGGGGGGGCATTCAAGAAAGCTTAGTGACCAAGCTATAAATTATTTGTAAAGGTAGCCCTACTCCCCCCTCCTCGAATATGATTTTTGTTTTTTTTATTTGTACTGTAAGTGTAAAACTCTGCATTAAATATGAACTTTGTATCGAAAATAATACCGCTAGTGAACTTTGCAGTTTGGAAATATATATCTGTGAGCACATTGATTAGACATAAAACCTTCTGATTTTTGGTTTGTTGTTTAACGTGGTAAGGCAGCATCAAATCAATCCTCATTTAGGGGGACGACCGGAGCTTGAACATTTCCATGGATCACCTGAGGATTGAGTAGAGGGTGAAAACTTGGTCAAATATATGAAGCACATAATCGACCTGGAAAAAATGACTAAAATAAAATCAAGCATTTTATAGGCCTACATACCAAACTGTCAAGTCTATGAGTTTTGTTTTGTTCAAGTTCTCTACAAAGTTCCTTATTAGGCTACCGTTGTCGGTTGTCTAGCCCATTTTCTAGTGGTAATCCTGTATCCCTGTATTATCAAGATAAAATATTGTTTCTTCCAGTACTCTTAAGTGATCAATGTATATTTTGATGAATTAAATCCAATGCAGAATATCTTATTAGAATGTTTTGATACCGGAAATTGCAACTATAAAGATAAACAGTGTCAGTGCAAGATGATGATTGTCAATAGATGGCGCTCATGTGTTTTTCAATGTAGAGTCCTTTTACACATTTATAAACAGAAGACTTTACTCCATGCACTGTCGAATCGATTATCCTGTACAGTTTCTCTATCTGTCCGATTTCTGTTTTAATTTGTTGATCAATTACAAGTGTGATATGTCCGTAATCAGAGGTGGCCCTCCCGGGGGGGGCACAGTGCCCCCCACTTTTTCAGATACTCCAAAAGTGCCCCTTTTTAGATAGGAAAAGTGCCCCTTTTATTTTGTAAGAAGTGCCCCTTTTACATAGGAAAGGTGCCCCTTTTACTTTGACAAGTGCCCCTATTACTTAGTAAAAGTGCCCCTTCCCCCTTTTCACCTCTGACGAGTGCCCTTTTTATTTTTGACACGTGCCCTTTTTCCTTCGACATGTTCCCATTTTCCTTTGCAATAAGTGTCCATTTTCCATTCTCATCAATCTTGAAATTATCTTGAATAAGTGCCCTTTTTAATCTCTAGTAAGTGCCTCTTTTCAGGTACGAGAAGTGCCCCTTTTCACTTTTAATAAGTGCCCCCTTCACCTCTGATTATTGCCTTATTCAAAACTGAGAGGTGCTCCTTTTACTTTGACAACTTCCCCTTTTTTCCTTTGTAAGAAGTGCCCCTTCTCCTTTTAATAACTACCCCTTTTTTAAACTCGGATGAGCGCACCTTTCATTTTAACATGTGCCCCTCTTATTTTCGAATAAGTGCCCCTTTTCCTTATGATAAGTGCCCCCATTAAAAAGAGAGAACTCCTTCCCCTTCTCACAACTACCCCTTTCCCTTTCTAATAAGTGTCCCTTTTCCTTATGATAAGTGCCCCCATTAAAAAGAAAGAGCTCCTTCCCCTTCTCATAACTGCCCCTTTTAAAAATCTGAACAGTGCCCCCTTTTCATTCACCAAATGCACATTTTCCTTTATTATAAGTGCCCCTTTTACATTTTCATAAGTGTCCCTTTTCATATCTGGTCAGTGCCCCTTTCAACTCTGATAATTCCCCTTTTAATAATGATACGTGCCCCTTTTCCTTTCTAATAAGGGACCTATCCCCTTTTCACCTCTTATAAATGCCCCTATCAAAATCTGATGGGTGTCCCTTTTCCGTCAACAAATGCCTATTTCCCATTTTCGTAAACGCCTCTTTTTCATCATTGGTGAGTGCCTCTTTTCAGGTGAAAAAAATGCCTCATTTTCACCCTTATAATTATCCTTTGTACTTTGACACGTGCTCCTTTTCTTTTCTAATAAGTGTCTTATCCCTTTCGATAATTGTCCCCTTTTCATGTAATCATTAAACGTGCCCCTTATTTAAAGCGACTAAGAGCAATTTCCCCCAAAGTTCGCTCGCTGCGCTCGCTCGCATTTAAAGATGATATAATTATGTTACTTATCAAAGGTCTTTTCAGTCTTCCGTTATGAGAATGTGCTTATAATCCCATCACGATTGGCTTTTTTCCTCTCTATAAGATGTAATTTTTCACACTGCGACCTCACAGATCTTTAAAATTTTTCTCGCTCGCTTCGCTCGCTCGTAAATGCATATTCAGACATCACATCCAACTGTAAAGTATGATGCTTAAACGATATCTTGTATGATGTATGAAGAGAAACAAATATTGAAATCATCCCTGATAATGTAATCACAATGTAGGGGTATATACCAATGTCTAAAAAATTGTATATTTTCGCTTTGAGATTTCCCACTGTAGGTGCCCTTTTTTTTTCCAGAAAGTGCCCTTTTTTGTTGGTGCCCCCCCCCCCCCCCATTTTGGAAGTCGCTCGGCCGCCCCTGTCCGTAATTTACATTTAATTGAACTAAAAGCACAATTTTCTGAATGAAAAATGAAACGATGAAAAGAAGTTTGTATATCTAAGCAGAATAGTTTTTTCCGTTGTGGGGGAGGGGGAGGGGAGGGTCTCATATTAGCTCTCCGTTTTATATAATCAATATATTACAGCAGGATTACTGTGAAATATGATTTCATTATCAAGATAATTATGAAAGTTGAAAAGAAAAGATATAGGATGAAGATTATGATAATACAGAATGACCACATCACTGCAAACTATTAAAGGGATAGTTGAGTTCTGCTGCAGAGGGCGCTACACAAAATAATTTTTTTGTGAGATAATGAAAACTGAGTGTCAAATTTGAAAGAACATAACATTTAAATGACAAAATCATCTTTGTTTGATCAAAATCGGGTCATAGACGGCTGAAATATAACGATTTCTAATACTTGTGTACCACCACAAATTAGATATTTTGAAAAAAATTGAAAAAAAACGTTGAAAAAAAACACGAAATAACGCCTTTTACGTCGTATTTCAGCCAATGCCTGTGTTGGCTTTTTGTTAGCATTTTCGTGTTGCTTATATTACCCACAGTTAGCCGGCTTATGTATTGTTATTTTTAATTAAATAATTAATTAACGGTCACCGTGTTTTTTTTAAAGTGGAGCTGAATTGGTATGATCGTCATGATTGGCTAAATTTCACACATTTTGGGGTCTAAAACTACCTTCATAGCAATTTTAGGTTCTAAAAGGGCACTATAAATGTCATAGATAAGAAAAAGGGCAATAACCATGCACTTTGAAGGCATTTGCGGTCTTAAAACAGAACTCAACTATCCCTTTAAGTGGCAGCTCCCCGAACATAGGGAATCTCAAATTTCTATCTCAAAGACGCAATCCCCCCTCCCCTCCCTCCCCCCTCCCCCTCCCTCCCCCCCCCCCCCCCCCCAACCCTTCGCCTGTGTATATGGTGATTGGGTGAGAAGTAATTTTATTTGGGAAGGTGGACGATGTATTTCATGCATACATGGGAATGATGGGATTCATTCTCGTCACGGGCTGTTGTAATTGAATCCAGTTCGCTCGCATCCGAAAGAGCGCCATCTCATGATCTCGGCCAGTGATTTAAATATATAAATAATTTATCCATGCCAAATATAGCAATGATATGTATCTCTTCAAATGACGTTAAACATGTCAGACCTGCGGTGACATTACGCATCTTCTTTAATAAATTCAATTTGGAACAAAAATTATAAGGAAAATTGGCCAATAGCAGGAAAATGATTATAGAAGTACTTGACAACATAGGGTCCATTCTTCAAGCAGGGAGAAAACTCACATCTCCCATCTAAAAGTATCTGAATATTGAAGCTGAAGTAGTTTTTTTAATGTAAAATACATCCTCAATACTACTTCACATATGTTTTGAGAAATGAATACAAATATTATTATAATAATAATAATAATAATAATAATAATAGCCTAATAGTCCACTCCAAATTTTATTAAACCGAAACGGAAATTCTTTTTGCCCAATATCGTGAGCCCGGCAGCCACTGAGCAGCGCCAGATCGACGTTGCTCTATCTATATTATATACTTTAATCCTCTTGATAATGTATTTTGGGGACTTGATTATCTTTGTATTACAACAGAAATATTATTTCATATAAAAGGTACGAACTTTTCCTAACAAAAATGAAGATCCTCCTTAAAATAATGTAGGGTAATTTTTTTCTCGAAATTTTGTATATACTTTCCCTAAATATGATGTCACATAATAACAGTGCATTGTCAGTTTAATTTCATCCAGGTGTTAGAATGTAGTGGAATTCCCCGTTGATTCTCGCTATCTATCTATATATTCTCTTGCTTTCGTGGTACTGTTCTTACATACTAATCAAGTTATAAAGATTAGTGCAAGTAATCCACATTTTAATGAATGGATAAAACTGTGTTTTAATTGACTAACTAGTGAATCTCTCTCTTATTTACATGTTCACATGTACATTCTATCTCTTTACAAGTCATATTTAAAGTTTACTCTGTAATTTATAATCGCTTTCACTTTGTCGTCTTACTTTCATCATCATTCCTCTTCTCCATGTCTTCCCAGTTCCAGCTGTTCCAT